ATTGGATAACTAGTGTGTAAAATAAGTCTCCATCTGCAGAAGGAAGGAGGGCATGGAAAACTCTTCAGAAGGGACCCTAGTTTTCCCCAGAGTAAAGGGAAAGGAGGAGAGAGGTATTTTCAATCTTGCTAGATTATGTTAGTATAACTTTACAATAAAGAAAGAGCTAATGCTCCTTATTGTATAGGTAGTCCTCAACTTAATTGAACCCAAAGTTTCTTTTGCTAAGTGAGACAGTTGTTAAGTGAGTTTTGCCCAGGGGTGAAACCCAGCAGGTTCTGACAGGTTCTGGAGAACCGGTAGCAGAAATTTTGAGTAGTTCAGAGAACCGGCAAATACCACCTCTGGCTGGCCCCAGAGTGGGGTGGGAATGGAGATTTTGCAATATCCTTCCCCCTGGAGTAGGGAGGGAATGGGAATTTTGCAGTATCCTTCCCCTGCCACGCCCACCAAGCCATTCCCACAGAACCGGTAATAAAAAAATTTGGATTTCACCACTAGTTTTGCCCCATTTTACAGCCTTTCTCGCCACACTTGAATCACTGCAGTTGTTAAGTTAGTAACATGGTTATTTAAGTGAATCTGGCTTCCCCATTGACTTTGCTTGACAGAAGGTCATAAAAAGGGAATCACATGATCGCGGGACACTGCAACTGTCATAAATATGAGTCAGTTGCCAAGCAACTGAATTTTGAACACACGACCCTAGGGATGCTGTGTAAAAAATAGTCATAAGTCACTTTTTTTCAGGGCAGCTGTAACTTCAAACAAACTGTTGTAAATCAAGGACTACCTGTACTTCTTGTCCGGACTACCTCACTAGGCTAACAATTCTCTTGACGTGACTCTACTATCTTTTTCTCAGATGTTGCTTTGTTTGGGAAGCAAATTAGTTGGTTGCAATGCTAGGAAGGACTGAGATCTATATTCCAAGTCCTGTATTTAAGATAGAGGAGTTTGGAAAGAAATCATAACTAGAATTTGCCTATACTTACTGGAAATAGGTGGATCCATTCCAAGGAGGGTGCTTTTGTTGGGGTTGGGGTCTTGTCGTACTATTGCAGGGGTCTACAACCTTTAAACACTCAAAGAGCCATTTGGATCCATTTCCTACAGAAAAGAAAACACCAGGAGCCACAAAACCTGGGTGGGCATGGCCAACTCGACGTCACTAACTTCCACCAATCACATGACCCCCCTAGCCACACCTACCCAGCCAGTCATTAGGGCAGAGAACTAGTTGTTAAAAAACATCGGGAACCAGAAAATCCTTTTGACATCTCTCTCTCTCTCTCCCGCTCTCCCTGTCTCTCCCTCTCTCCCTCCCCCATCTCTCTCTCCTTCTCTCCCACCGCACTCTCTCTGTATCTCTCTATGTCTCTCTCCCCCTCTCTCTGTATCTCTGTTTTTGCCCCAGCCGCTTCTCCATCCCCCACTGTCACCCTTACCTTCTCAGGCCAGGCAAGGAGTGACTGGGAGGGGAGTGTGAGGGACGGAGCCAGTCGGTGGGATCACCCGATGGGGAGCCACAGCAGAGGGCCCAAAGAGCCACATGCAGCTCCGGAGGCACAGGTTGCTGACACCCATACTATGGAATTATAGCTAAGAAGCATTCCAATCTATCCTGTTTATTACAATCCTCTTTTATTCCTCTAGTGGTGCCTGAACATGGGAACTGTTGCCCTTCCCCGTCCTTCCTTTTCACAGTGAGAACAGGAAGGAGCAAAGGGGGGATGAATCAAAATCACAGATTCCAACAAGAACTTCCAACCTAATTAAGTTGACCCAATTAAAATCCTGAATATAGAGTTATATAAATTTTTAACCATTTCGAGTATGCAACTATAATATTTAACCTCAGATAAGGGAGGAAGGCTCTGTATAAGCAAATTATGATTATGCCTTTGGGTAAAATTCCCCGTAGCACTTGGCTGGCTACTGTCGGGGAATTTCTGAGCTAGACAAACTCTGAGAATTAACAGATTCTTCTTTCTACCTTTTCTCCAAAGTATTATGGGAAACCCCCTGCTTTAGGGCATAGGCTCATGGTTAGAATTTGGTCTTTCCACCCCACACAATTGCGGCAGGAGGAAAGGTACAATTAAGTGAAAACTGACACTTTCTAGCAGGATCCCATATCAGTTTTCCTCCTCCCATTAATTATACAGTCACTGTGCTCTTATCAGTTAACATTTATCACATGATGATATGGTAGGAACAGTAGAAACTTCACAAGCTTCATCCATGCTTTGCTTTTGGGAAGCCTTTAGTGTTCATTTTTTAATTGCCCCATGGAATTTGTTAATAGAGTTCATTAGTTGTGTTTGCATCAGTTTCCCCATGGTTAACCTAACCATAGTTTGTATTCAATTAATCCAGTATTATAGGGGAGAAAAACACAATTGTGGGAAGCCACCCACCCTCCTCCTTGAAGAATGAAATATTTTGGGGAATATTTAAAAAAAGGCAGAAATGAAGAAATATGTCTTTTTAGAAGCAGAAAGCAACCCACACTTTCCTTAATAACCCACAGCAGATGTCAGCACTTATGAGATAAAGAGCTTATTGAAAACTAGATAGCTCTATTCATAGGTAAAGCAAATACTACAGGCAGAAATCCATTCAAGACAGGATATTTTGAAACAAAGGCAGAACGGTAGGATTAGAAGCAGCCCAGAGCAGTCCAAACTTCAACCAAACCTGGACGCTCAAAAGAAATACCTAGGATTTGCATTTCCTCTTTTGTTTATAGAGCCAACTATGACCCCCTACATATCCCCATAGGAATCTGACAACAACCAACAGAATATTTTAAAACTTGCACAGGAACAGGAAGCTCAAATACAAAGCTCAAATACAAAGCCCAAAGAAGGTATAAAAACCCCTCACTCTCAACTCCATTTTGTCAGCTGTACCAGAACCACAAACCCATGTGGTTCTGCTTCATCATTAAGCCATCCTTTCAATCAGCCTCCATGTTTCCAGTGTCTTTCTCCCAGCTTGGAACTAAACCAGATGGGTATTTCTTCCCCCACACAGAATCATTAAACTGACAGGCCAGAGAAAAATGTGGCTGGCTATTCTGTGGCTCGGCCTGAACAACTGCAGGAATATGTACTAGGTGCTTGATACTTAACTTCAGAAAACACTGGTCAGGCATTACAAGAGCCCCTTCTATACATGGGCACGAGACTTTGTAAAATGGCACTAGAATTGTTTTTTTAAGAATGCCTTTAGCACACTTTTGAAAGAATACTAGACTTGTACTCAAAAGCAACAGGATGAGTGGAGAAACCCACTCAGAGCAATACAGCTCTAATTTGTGTGGCCTTATAGGGAAAAGTACTAGAGGCAGACCTTGAATTAGAACCATATCAGAGATTGGAATTTCTGTTGTACGTCATTGTAGTTATAGATCCCACTGGACCCAATTTTGCAACACTTTTTATGGCTGTTAAGTGAATCATGCAGTTGTTCAGTGGATCCAGCTTTTCTAATGGGAGATTTTTGCTGGAAATTAGCAAAAAACAAACAAACCCAAACACAATTGCAATCATGTGATTGCAGCAGCAGGTCATAAATGTGATAAGCACCGGCAATGACAATTGCATGATTGCAGAGGTGAGGTGATGGCTATAAATGCAGGTGCAGACTACAAGTCACTTTTTCCAAGGCTGTTGTAACTTTGAATTGTTGTAGACAAATAGTTGTTAAGTGAAACTTAGAATAGAGACATTAAAAAAATGGCATACAGCACATAATGGTTGGGGAGGAAATTGTGGTTAGGGTGAAGTAAAAACAATTTTGATGGCCAAGACTGTATTTTTGAGAGGCAAAGGACTGCAATGGATGGGAGCAAGTAGGGGAGACTGTGCGTTTTGGGGAATCTATTCATGGGGAGTTTAACAACTGTGTTGTGTGTGTTGAGAAAGTAGAATAGAATTAAAAAGTCATCTGATTTTTAGTACAGTATATAATACCGTGTTTCCCCGAAAATAAGACCCTGTCTTATATTTTTTTTGAACCCTGAAATAAGCACTTGGCCTTATTGCCATGCGCTTAAAAGCCCGATTGGGCTTATTATCAGGGGATGTCTGATTTGGGGGGAAACGGGGTATAATTTAGTGGACTGTTTAGTAGGAAGTTTCAGTCTCACTAGGTAGACCAAACCAGGAAATCAACTCCAAAAGAAGGCTAAAGTTAATTTTATTGAGATTGGTTACAATAACAGAATCTTGAAGATCTGGTTCTGCTGTACTTCCTCCTTATGGTTAGGGAAGCATCAGCCTGAACCTCTTCCAAATATTATGTCATTCTGGACTTAAAAAGTGCTCCAGCCCTATTTTATTTATTAGATTTGTATACTGCTCATCTTTTGTCTGCAATACTGCATTCTAACCATTGTGCTGCCATAGCTCCACAGTTCCAAATCTCCCCCTTAGGCTCCTAACAGCATGTCTCATATTGCTAGTGTATATATGATATGACTAATGCTATACACCAGGGGGTGTCAAACTCACGGGCCACGGGCCGGATGCATCACATACTGGCCACGCCCATGCCTGGTTCAGCGAAGGGGGGGGCAGTCATGATACGTCATGTGACACTTTTTTTTTTTAAAAAAAAATTGATTTATATGTTGCCCTTCTCTGGAGACTCAGGGCGGCTTACAATGTGTTAAGCAATAGCCTTCATACTTTTTGTATATATATACAAAGTCAGCTTATTGCCCCCACAAACTGGGTCCTCAATTTACCTACCTTAGAAAGGATGGAAGGCTGAGTCAACCTTGAGCCTGGTGAGATTCGAACTTACAGTAATTGCAGACAGCTGGTGTTAATCACAATGCTATTAGTCTGCTGAGCCACCAAGCCCTAACACTTCCATGATGACGCGAGTTTGACACTCCTGCAGTACACTAAATAAATAATGCTTAGCATCAGTGTAAGATCACAGTCTGTGGGCCAAAAATGACCACATTTGACCATCAAGCTCCTGATCTATCCGCTCAACCTACCTCAGTGTAAGCCCTGCTTGGTTTCCCAGAGGAAAGATGTATACAAATATTAACAGGATGAAGGACATAGAGGAGTCGGCTCTGGTTATAGAAATGACTCAGTATGCGGTTATCTCCCATACCAACTTTTTGATAATCATGAATTACTGTCCTCAAATTGAATATCCCCAAAGTGCTATTTCCTAAGGGAAACTGTAAGGAAAGGAAAGGAAAAGAACTGAAGAAAGCTTCTTGGATGAGAAGTGAAACATTTTCAAAGAAAAAAAAAGTTCAGTTGCCTTTTGAAAAAAGCATCTTTGTGACAATCATGACTTGGATGATTGAAAAATCTCCCCAGACTCTCAATTTGAATTTAAAAATCTTTCCAGTAGGGCAGCTAGTTTTGCCCTTTTCCTTTCCTTTCTTTTTTTTTTTTTAAAAAAACTTAGCTTCAGGTGATATTCCTCGTGTTAATTATAAGTTTAGCGGCACAGAACTGCAAGAGTGCAAAAGAGCACACACGAGGCAGCTCCCAATATGGGGATTTCCCGTCTTGTTTCTGACAGGGCCGAGTTGCAATGGCAGATTCTGTCTCTAAACTAATTTCTTTCATTATTTAGAGGGAACTAAAATGGAGAATGAATATCAGAACCGGTTGTTAGATAAAACAACAGCAAATGATATTATTTTGTAACATATATTTGGGGAAAGGGGTGGAAAAATATGAGATTTCAGTTGGACAACATAATGTTTGATACAGCATTACAATACACAATGGGATCTCATCAGCATACTGATGATACTTGGCCCCATGCTGACCCAGCGGTTTCATGCAGATGTTAGGAGAAATGGGGAGAGCAGAGAGCCTTGAACATTTCACAGAGTACAGGTGTCCACGCAGACCTCTCATCTCCACTACCACTGACTGGAACTGCCCCCTTAGGAAAGAGGAAAGAAAGAGAATAACATAAATACCAATTCCTCAGAATCAAAGCTGAGTTCAGGTCCTGGTGAATTATTCATCTGATATATAAAATATAGATATAAATGTGATTCCCACAAGGTCTCTTTTGAGTCTAAGTTTTCAGTAAGCCGAGTATTGCCTGGAAGTCCTGAGGCAAGGACTCCTAAAGCTGAAAAGGGAGAATTGGCTGTGACTCAGACATGATGAATGCTCAAAACTTGACCCAAAACTTTCAGAACTTTTCAATACTCAATAGAGGATATGCACAGATAACAGCCTCATAGCTGCGAATACAGCTTAGTTACCCGTATTTTTCAGTGTAAAATACTCACTTCCCACCCCACCCCCCCAAAAAATAGGTAGAAATGTCTGTGCATCTTATACAGCGAATGTTGCCGAAGCCCCGCCCACCCACTGGCCCCCACCCTTTGGCCTCTGCCTCCCAGCAATTTGCTCTTTGCAGCAAACAGCAAACAGCCTGGTCAGCTTCAGCACAGCCTGATTTAGCATGAGCAGCTAATTGACGGTTGGATCGGCCTCCCGGAATACCGCCTATCAGCTGTTCCAGGCTGCAGGGATCGCCATTGCCTGTCACCGTCATCGCTGCCCATCACTGCTGCCGCCTATCGCCGCCTACACCCGCCCCATTTTCGGCCTCCGCACATCCTGTTTTTGGTCCATTCCAGGTGGTGAGGATAGGTGGTGGTGGCAGCGATTCCTGCCACCTGGAACAAGCCAGAAATGGGATGCGCGGAAACCAAAAACAGGATTCAGGGAGGCCGAAAACGGGATGCGTTTCATCCAGGTACATCCAAAATCTGCATTATTATATGAACATTTATCTTAATAACCTTAGAGATAAATCTAGGCTAATAACACTGATACTTTCTAAATGAATGCAAAATATTCCTTATTTGCTGATAGGCCTTGAGTATATAGTCAATTATCATAAAGTTGGCTACACAAAAGAAACTTCAAAAACCACATTCAAACACTGGGTGTGCTGTTTGAAGTCAGTTACAATGAAGGCAGTCATTTAAAAAGCATATTTTTGGGAAACATGCCAGATATTATTTAAGGGGGAAAAAGGGCTGCTGAGAGTTTTGGCATGGATCAAAAATTGGCATGTGGTGATGGGAACCAATTACCTGGCTCAACTTTATGTTTTTTGACCCAGAATAATTTCTCACAAAGAAGGCTGAATCCTCCCTGCCCAAAAGGAACCAGTTAGGGCATATTGTTACCTGTTGGAACTTGCAGCAATCATGTATAAATATATACCACAATTTACCTTATAATTCAGGTGCACTTACTAGATAGTTACTATATGTTGCAACATCCAAGGAGGTTCCATTTCCTTTCCAAGAACATTGGCGCTATCAAACTGACCTCCAGAAGATGAAGGTGAAGCATACACAGAAAAAGACTCAGACCATCAGATGTCCTAGGGGAGAAAGGAGAAACCCTGAATACAAATATGGCACATGGGTAGCTAATGTCATGGCTGGAAGCTACATCTTTGGGCTCTTCCCATTCATTTCTGGATTGGCACATCCTAGATAAAGTTCATTGCACTCCACTGTACTCCATCTGAGGGGGAGGGGGAATAAAAAATATGGGTCAAGGGAACAATGACTTAAAAGAATGAGAAGCCATCAAGAATATATCTGTGGTGGACGTGTCCCAAAGCAAAAAAATACTGGAAGAAAATACACATATGACTGGAAACTATGACAAAACAACAGATAGATTTGAAACCTGAGACGTTCCTGTTGGGCATGCTGCCAGGAAATTATAATAAGGGTAACACATATTTAATTTTATATATTCTAACAGCAGCCAGGATTGTATACGCACAATACTGGAAAAATATATAATCCCCTACAGATGATAATATAATCAAAAAAAAAATCTGGAATGTGCAGAAATGGATAGGTTAACTCTAAAAATCAAAGGAAAAGAAGACTCGGAATATTTTATAACATGGGAACTATTCTACAAATGGTTAATTGACAACTACAGAGGTTAGATAAGTGGATTTATATGAAATATGGACTACATGAGAAAGAAAAACTGATGAGTAAAAATTTTGATGGTTATATGATCAATCATAATTTGAGAAGGGACGTGGTGGCTTAGTGGGTAAGATGCTGAGCTTGTCGATTGAAAGGTTGGCAGTTCAGCTGTTCGAATCCTGAGTGCCGCATAACGGGGTGAGCTTCTGTTATTTGTCCCAGCTTCTGCCAACCTAGCAGTTTGAAAGCACGTAAAAAATGCAAGTAGAAAAATAGGAACCACCTTTGGTGGAAAGGTAACAGCATTCCGTGCGCCTTTGGTGTTTAGTCATGCCAGCCACATGACCACGGAGACATTTTAGGACAGCACTGGCTCTTCGGCTCAGAAATGGAGATGAGCACCACCCCTAGAGTCGGGAACGACTAGCACATATGTGCAAGGGGAACCTTTACCTTTATAATCGATACTATAATGGAAGATAGTATACTTTTCAATAACGATTGATATTATCGCATATATGTTTATCTATATATGATTATAATGATTATGATGTTTATATGTTAACACTTTGGACACCTAGAAAACACACTGTTCAACATAGAAATGGAACTTATGATATAAAACAATAAAAAATATTTATACCAAAAAAAGAGAATATACCTGTTGTAGGTAATTATATTACTGTTGCACACTCTTGCACACCAATGCTAATCGGTGAGAAATGTCAGGGGCACCTGGCTTATCCAGTTTTAGATTTCCTTTGAAGGAATTTATTGGGAACGGAAGACAATTTCCATGATATCTAATGAATATTACGCATTTATAATAACCAGCGAGCTTGTTTAGCACAGGATTCTAACCCATCGGGCTTCCTCTGAGCCTTACAGCAGAATGCTGATGCCTCAAATCAAGGCATAGAGAGGGTTTGACTCAGTGGTGAAATGTAAAATTTGTTACTACCGGTTCTGTGGGTGTGGCTTGGTGGTGGTGGGGGTGGGGGTAATGTGACTGGGTGGGCATGGCCAACTTTTTTTTTTTTTTACTTTTAAAACCATTTTTTTAAAAAAATGCTTTTAAAAACCTCTGACGATCCCAGCTGAATTGCCTGATCGTCAGAGGCTTTTTTTCTTTTAAAAGCCCCTGACGATCCCAGCTGAGTTGCCTGATCGGCAGAGGCTTTTAAAAGCATTTTTTTTACAACCTCTTCAGCCAAAGAGGTTGTAGAAAAAATGTTTTTAAAAGAAAAAAAAGCCTCTGACGATCAGGCTGGGAACTCAGCTGGGATCATCAGAAGCTTTTTTTTTCTTTTAAAAACCAGCTATGCTGGCTGGAGAATTCTGGGAGTTGAAGTCCACAAGTCTTAAAGCTGCCAAGTTTGAAGACCTCTGATTTAGAGGAAAGAATCATTTGCATCTGTTACCTTTTTGTCTTGGGCCATCCCATTCCTTTTGCATCCTTTTCTCAAATCATAAGGCTTATTGGGTTTAAAAGGCCCGATTGCCTCAGGTCACCCACTTTAAGAGCTCTAATCGCAGGAATCTTACATCTCAACAAGTACAGAGTTTAAAGGGAATCTTATCTGTCTCAGCCTGACTCTCAAACAACACTATCACCACAATCAACATAACATCATCTGGGTGTGTCTGGGCTGCTTTAGAAAGAACTAGCATGACAGATCTCTAACTCTGTGGATCCACACCGGCCTCCGAATAGGTGAAAACAGATCCCCAAATTCAACGACCAAATTCAAATGGCAGCGACTTTATAATAATACAGGTAGTCCTCGACTTACAACAGTTTGTCTTGTGACCGTTCAAAGTTACAACAGCACTGAAGAATGTGACTTATGACCATTTTTCACAATTACGACCTTTGTGGCATCATGTGATCAAAATTCAGAGGATTAGCAACCAGTTCATATTTATGACCGTTGCTGTGTCCCAAGGTCATGTGATCACCTTTTGCGACCCTTCTGATGAGCAAAGTCAATGGGGAAGCCAGATTCACTTAACAGCCACGTTATTAACTTATCAACTGTAGCAAGAAAGGTTGTAAAACGGGGCAAAACCCACTTAACAAATATCTCATGTAGCAACATAAATTTTCGGCTCAATCGAAAATTCGGTCGTAAATCGAGAACTACCTGTATTAATGTGGTTCTCCAGACTTTTTATGCAGAGCACAGCTAGAGGCAGTGGATGTTTATGCTTTCTTTTGAGCTGGAGCAGCCTGGATATCTCCCTGATCTGATTCTGATCAGTGAGTATTGTGTAACCACCATCAAAAGCCCATTAGAGATTGGCTCACTTCCTTCATTTTCTGTGGTAAGGGGGAAGAAAAAACCCTGCCTCCCTCCTAAACAGAGGAGAGAAGCTGAAACTTTTGGAGCAGCTTTTCATATTGTCCTCTAGCACTGATCATATTGTCATACCCAAGGCGGTCAAGAGCATGATGACTCACCAATTGAATAGTCAAATGACCTGCATAGAGTTTTTTACCTGATGTAAATCAAGGCACTGACTTCCAGATTGAAAAACATCCAACATTCCTTTCAAGCATTAATGTAAGGACTGAAACTGCCACCCAGAGCCTTGTCAATGGGCCTCACTTCAGAGCCCACAAGACAAATGATGGAAATTTACAGAAGGTCTACATTTCCTGTGGTCGATATTTTATTTATCAAGTGACCACTGGAAATGTAGACCTTCTGTAAATTTCTACAGAAATATCAAAATATCATAAACAAAGGGGGGGGGAATGAACTTGTGATGTATGCTTTTGATTAGACAGGATAGTTTATAAAAAGAAGAGCAATGTGATGCAACCTAAAGAGAGGTTAAAATATCATTGTACTTATAACTGCTAGGAAGAAGATCAGAAGCAACTTCTTTATATCTTTTTCACTTTTAGCTTTTCTTTAATTTCTCCCTTTCTCTTCCTTCTGTTTCATTCCATTTCCATTTGGTAATTAGTTCTTACTATTGTCAAAACTGCCAGTAAAATGTGTACACACACACACACACACACACACACACACACACACACACTATAAATCATTGATTCTGTCTTTATACTCAGAATACAGCAGGCTGAATAATCAAGTGATGGACATACAAGTCCCCTAGATTCGATACAGCAGCTCATGAACGGTTCTTGCCTGCAACGTTGAACCAATTTTTCTATTGATTCTGCTAGAGAATGTCTGCTTCACCTCAAGCAAAACTCGCTTCCCACACAATTCATTGTGGGGTTGGCACCATTTGTTTTGCTCCGCCACACCTACTTCTGCTCAAGGCCTTTGAGTTTGCCCATTGCTCAATTTGTCCTGTGATTTTAACACACAGCAAGACATAGAGAGAAAAAGAGTCAGAGAAAGAGAAAGAGAGAATGAGAGGGAGACAGAGAATGAGAGAGAGAGGAGAGCAGAACAGTTATTTTGTGAGCATAATTACGTATAAGTTTTCTGGAAGAAGGTGGAGAAAAGAAAAGGCTGTCTCCAGGCAATTACTGAACAGACTTGGTGTTGTACCTTAAGTGGATCACTTGTACAGTTCTACTGAATTTTCCAGCAACATGGTCTGCAATTGTTGCCTGGCATGGCACAGTTATGACTTTGATTGAGAAGAAGAGGGGTGATGATAGAAGGACGAGGCGTCACCATACTTGGGCCCCTGATCAAACCTTTTGCCCCCCTCCACCTCGAACCACTTGGAGATCTTGGGAATGATCTAGCTCTTTCCACTGTTTTACAAGACATACAGTGCAACGGCAGTTCCAAGACCAGAGCTAGAGATTACAGAGCATTGGAGGTTGTTTCATTTCTTAGCACCTCTGAGCCCATTTAGACTAACAGGACAAATGGAAAGAGAGAGAAGTGAGAGGAAGGGCCTCCGCAGGTTGTCCCTGAGCCTGTCTCTGTCAGTTTTATAAAGTACTCCAGTCAATTAGCACACCCAATTCTAACTTTATCGTAAGGTTACATTAACAGAATGTTGCAAGCCTCAAAGTATCTCTCCCCCCCCACCCCCCACTATTTACAGCCCAAGAAACTAGGGAGGGTCCCTTCTAGATATTTGCCATGCCCACATTCCTTCTACAGTCTTGGCTGCCTTTCATTTGACCACAGTCTAGGTTGTGACTCACCTACCTGTCACCCAAGGTCAATTCCCATATTATTACTGTCTCTCACCTGGCTTATGGTTGGTCAAATGAATCTTATGTGTTTAAGAGACAAAGGAAATTTCCTTCCTTCCTTCCTTCCTTCCTTCCTTCCTTCCTTCCTTCCTTCCTTCCTTCCTTCCCTTTTTCCTTCTTTCCCTCTCTCCCTCCCTCCCAGATGTCAAAATGTAGAAACGAAGCCTTCTTATTCTACGTATTTCTTAATAAATCTAATTACTACAAATAATAATGTCTGAAAGTTTGATTAAG